AACTTTTCGTGTCAATGACACATACTCGTATTTCAGCAGGCACATCTTTTTGTTACAATGTCGTACTACAACAGGAAAACTTTGACATCGATTTACCTCCTCCTGATAACACACGACTCTCGATTACTCGCTGAATCGATTATGGAGATTCGAATAAGGCGCTCGAGTCAAAACAACTTATTCGTTTAGGTTACACATTGAATATGGAGTAAGACACGCCGTTTCATCCTGGGACATTATTGACGAACTATTGTTGTTTCGGCAAAAAGGCAGCTATATTTCATAAGTTATAACACTAGAAAAACACTACAATTTTTTGTTGCCGATAGGCAACAAAAAATAGTAGTGATAGTAATATAAGAAGTATGATCATGAAGATAGTAATATAATATCGAAGATAGTAAGAGTGATAGTAATATAAGAATACGAATACAAAAGATAAGATATTATCTTTCGTATTCGTATTCTTATATCTGTCGCCGTAAAATTGTGAATTCCGTCAGATTATAATCCGACATAGTTAAATTACAATCTAACCTAACCTAAACCACTGTTAGTTATAAAGTGACAGAATTCACAATTTCACGTTGACATAATATCTATATCAATTATGATATTTTAGCCTCTACCCCGTGAAAATTATTTTGTAAATCAAATCAGACAAATCGAAAATAACAACTAGACCAAGTACTTATGAAAGGGTGACTTATTATTGAATATTTTGAGTTTCGAGTGGGAGTAATTAATATGTATAGATATGCACCACGCTATTAAAGCTGCTGAAGCTTCGGGACCTACCAAAGCTTTTTAACCTAAAATAAAATAAGTCAAAAGTAAGTAAGTAGGTACGCACTGAAATTAATTAGCTCATATTAACTCCTAAGTATTATAAAACGTGGCCATTTCATTATTCTAATTCCCTTCACTTAGGTAATGCAAATCCAGTTTTCTTTTCATTTAAAAGTTACTTACTTTTACTAATTACTTAATTAATTTCAAAAGTAAACTGTGAGGTTTCAGTAGCCAAATAAATGGACTGTTTGTACTTTTTAGGGTCACATAAAATAACAAAGGAATATCCGGGTTTTATACTTAGTTAACGAGACTTCCAAACAAGTTAAAATAAACCACGCATGCGAAAAATTAAAGTAAACTTCGATAATGCCAAAGTAGGTCAGTTTTTGGTTTGAAATGTAAAACAATTTTAAATGCAATGCAAACGACTTCTCTGCGACTTTTTTAATTTACTAAGTATAAAGATTTGTAATTCAATTTTGGTAAAAGCTCCTGTTAGGTGCATAATACCTATTTATGCAGCTCCTGTTACTTTTTATTTATTACAGTATAACGAAACGCAAATGGTAGTTACGAAGTTTGTTGCGGCGCGTCAGCACTTGCTAAATGTTTGTCTCAAAACGTTAGTAAAGGTTCGGCCAAACCAACGCGATCAACCGGCGTGCAGCGATGGCGATCAATGCATTTAGGTCTGGTCGCCATCGCTGCACGCCGGCTGATCGCGGTGTGATCGCGTTGGTTTGTCCGAACCCTAAGGCAAAATATAGGTACACACGCCCACACTGTTAACTATCCATTTCCGTTTTTGCTCTCGCTCTAATCAAATGGCGATTCTTTGCGATAGAACGAGATGACATGACTTTCAATGGGGAGTTAACACTGTTGGCAATAGTACATGTATGTATTATGAGAAATGTGAGTGAAACCTCTCCCTAATTTTATCCCTTTTTTCTCTTAAAAAATCTCGTAAAAATGGTCAACATTAAATAAATAAAAACCACATTGTCTTCGAAGATGTGCTAGCTGTTTTCCTCATCCTACCCATGGATACGCAATGCAGATCCTGGCATGGCGTCGGGCGATGCGTTTCGCCATCATATTTCAAGCAAAATTGTCAGCGGAAAGCCAGCGGCATTGAACGCGGAATAAATCGGACGACAAATATTTGGCTTCCTACATAATGGTCTAGCATTGGAATGTTGGATGCGGATCAGTAGAATTTGTTTTTTTTTAAGATTTTAGTATACAGACATACGCTGTGTCATTTTTTGAAGTCATAACGGATCTAAATCGAGACCCAAAATGAACTTAAGTTACAGGTTTGTACAACTTTCAACAGACAAGTCTAGTTCATAATGTCATATTGTACAAACGTGTAACTAAAGTTACAATGTTATTTATATTGGGTATCGAAATGTTTGGACACATTTCTCTTTGTTCTTGTAAATCTGTATGGGTAACTGTGATATCCACTGTCACTAACTCTACTGTAGTACTGTAGTCTTTAAATAGTGTCGGAATTCAGATCACTTTTAAACTATTAACAGAACAATGTAAAATGTCTTTTACAGTTCTTTTTATTTCAATCAATTGAATACAGTGTGTTAGGAGGAGACCACAGGAGAGGTTAACACGAGCAAATCCAACTGAATTTCTAAACAATTCAGCCAACTTTAACTGAATAGAAGTGTCGCGCATTGGAAGAACAAATTCGATTTAGTGGCTGCTTGTAAAGCTTATTCTAGCTCTAAGTTTAGACAACACTATTTCATTGCTATTATTTTAAATGAATAAATAAATTATTTTCAGCTACATAAAGAATATATTGTTTTAAACTTTCATGGTCACGAATACGAACATTACTCATGGATTATATTACTCAAACAATTTCCTACAGTTACGAGATTCCGTATTTCCGTTAAAGCCATAATGATAATGATATCATCGAGGTATACGCGGAAATCACACTCGGTCCGACTTCCTCGAAGTCTCTTTTCGCACGCAATATTTGTAATTCAAATAACTAACGTTTCATAATTATTACGATGACACAAATTAAGCTAAGTTTTTGGAATGGGAAATTCAAGTAGGTATACATATTAAGATGGTACGTATGATGGCTTTCAGACCATTATGGCGATTATGAGAAGATCCCGCCTGTCTTTTCGACAAGTGAAATTCCTGAAGCTTTACCGTGAGTTTCATAAACGTCATCGCTAGCGAGTGCGTCAAATAAAATTATAAAGATTTTAGTTCGTACCATTTGTCATACATTCCATGTAATTTTTTTACTCAGTCGCTAGCGAGTACACCTAATGTAACTCATGGTAAGCACACTGTATAGGCAGGATTTACACAAAGAAATAGAGAGAATGCCGCAACCGCACAATACTTCTTTCAATCGCCCCAACTTTGAGATAAATCGTAATATTTTTGTGAAATAACATCAATGGGATATCTCCAATTCCAACTTTGCATCTTTTGGCACAATTCCTCGGTCGAGCTACAAAGCAGACCCGGTTTTGCTCCGAGATGTAAGATCAAAGCGTACTTGATTGTTATCGAATATTTGGTGCCATTCGGCAATTTCGAAGATATTTCGAGATATCCCGATTCTGTCTTCTTCTTTATCGCACATAAAAAAAAATTATGAAACTTTTATCGTTTTAATGTGGACTTCATCTTTATCTTCATCAAAGGTCGAATCAATACGAACGAAAAAGTCATTAGAATCATGATTGAAATGCTCCTTCTCGTCGAGTAATAAATGTAGAGTGAACAGTACAACAGCCAAACAATTTTATTGAAATATAGCATCTATCACAACTACTTACAAAGGATATTACTCATTGTTTAAAATAGAAAAACATTAATTTGCAAACATTGATTTCTCAACATTTGCTCCAACTTTCATCTACGAAGAAAACGTTTTACTCGTACAAACGCGTCATTCGTACACCAACATTTGCTAAAACACAGATAGTCACATTCTAATTCACTAGAATTTACTAAGTCCCTCGGATAATTGTAGCCAAAAGTAGGTAAGTCAGAAATATCGGTGTCATAATAGTTCTTATAAACATTAGTTTAATTGGGCAACTTTCCAAAATACATGCACCAACATTAGTAACCTAACACGAAAACAACAAAGCACTCTTCCTGGAATTTAGTAAAGCGGGGGTGATTTGCATTTAAATTGAAATTAATTCATGAAATTATTAGCACTGAGAATTTTACTAGGAGATAAATTTTTGGTAGTGCCATATACTTAATGTGCAACATCGCTTAAATTCATTGGTTTCTAAAGTGGGGGGTGCGCCCCCTAGGGGAGGCGCAAAGACCTTTAAAGGGGGGCGCAGCCATCTATGTACTCAAGTATAAAAAAAACCTGCGACCGCTGAGAGCGATTACGACCAATAAATAATCTTGACTGGAGGAGGAGGAATTTTTTGTATGGTCGAAAGGGGGCGTGTCTCAAATAAGTTTGGGAACCAATGCTCTAGTTAGTAGTTAGGTACTAGCAGGATGCCAAGCCATTACTCCACACTATTTTGCTCGGCAATGCTTTCAACTAGAAACAATTTACTTAATGGAGCCTGTGGTCGTTTAATTTTTCATTCTAACCTTGTTTGCCGCCTGTGTTTATACTCAATGCAAAAATAAAATAACATTATTAGCCTTTATTTTTAATCTTAACAGTAAAACTAAAATGAATCATAGTTACAAGAGTTATCTATACTTATAATAAATCTGTAGAGAGGTCAATTCTGTACATGAAATATATTTTCAACATAACTATCAGTAGGCCTAAGATGCGCGCATCGACAATGACATGATATGATAAGACAATTTTCGATCACGTAGATAATTTTATCATTTTCCCTAACATGGAACCATCGATAGAAAAGTCTATCGACCGCTATCGCGTGATAACCGAATTGTTGCCATATTAAGAAAAAATTGCGTTATTATGTTGGCCAACCTTGAAATATTTTAGCTCATTCGTTCAATCTCGTTCATTTCTGCTACTAATTCGGCTAAAAACACATATCTTAAAGCAGTGAGAACGTCATTAAAAAAAAGTTATGTCAATTTTGTTGACATTACATGACTGCTTCATTGTATTTGTTTGTGTTTTTAAAATTGTATTTTTATGTTTCCAGTCTTATTTTTAATATTTCTAAAGTACGAAAATATCAAACGAAGAGATAACCAAGTTAATAAAAAACAATGAAGAATTCCTAATCATACCGACAGTATTAAAGAATGAAGTCTTCAAAATTAACAGAATAACCGAACTCCACTACCTACCCCATAATGCGAGGTTTACAGTAATTATTCAACTTACATGAAGCAGTCAGAAAGTTTATTGAGATTTGAGAAATAAAGTTACACTCATAAGTAGCAAAGTAAGTACCTAAAGTCTAAAATATTAGCTATACTCCGCAGATCTTGATTTTCATAAGTAACAGCACCGGAGAAAAGGAAAAATATCTTTATTCCTACAAATAAGCTTTCACCTTCTTTCCTATATTTATTTCACATAGTTCTTTCACCGTGTAATAATACTGTGATCAATATTTTGTATGTAAACTTAAAATACAAATAGGATTAAGTAAATGTTTCTATTTATGAACTGTTTATGTAATTGTAATATTTATAATTGTGTTTAAATAATATTCTTTCTTTTTTCAGACAGTGGATGAAGAAGTGTGGGATTATGAGTGATTATTTCATTCTAAAGCAGACATAATCAAGTCTTGCTCACTATCATGAAAATTTACAATAACAATCAGCAAGAAAAACTTCAAGGGTACTGGCTAGGCTAACCAATTCATGGAATTCTGTTTGTATTTGAAATTATAAATAGCTATTGTAAAACAAAAGTTTTCCAAATAAAGATTTTGTAAATAATGGTTGAATTATTTTGAAATTACACTGCAATAATGAATTTATTGCCTGCGTCCAGCGCCTTTCTGCTACCATTATGATGTCGTCGGTCCACCTTGTGGGTGGACGTCCCACGCTGCGTATTCCGGTACCCGGCCTCCACCCCAGAACCTTGCTGCCCCATCGGGCAACATGGAAAGCATTGGGGGAGGCCTAAGTTCAGCAGTGGACGTCCTATGGCTGAGATGATGATGAATTTATTATAATGGAATAAATTGTACAAGATTATCATCCTGTCACATTAAAGCCCTTAAAAAAGACCACATGGAGGAATTAGATTGATAGTAATGTGGAATGTATGTATGGTATCACCATCAAGTTATAAAATTAGTAAAATTCATTTATTCTCATTGTTATTATAGCAAGTTTGATTACACATCCCACCCAATGCTAATTTCTGACAATGACCTTGCCACTGTTTGATGTAGACACAAGAAGCTCGGTCACCACATTCCGCCCCATTTTCAATAATTTTACAAGATTATGTACAGATGACAGTAGGTACTTAAATCAAGCTAAACACTGTGGGGTATCTCACGACATTTGCAACTTAATATGTATTGTCTGATGTACTGTTGACTGCCTACCTAAGTAGGTAAGTAATGGTTATTTTACAAGGTAGGTAATGTAATAATTAATATGTGGGTGGGACTGTGGGAGCACTAAGATTTTGCAGCTAGCGATTATAAACTGTCGCAAGATTCGCCTCACACTGATAAACTCTTGAACTAGAACTCAATCTCCACCTAGAAGTAAAAGTATCACAAAGGTGCTAGATTCCTTTCTTTGAATTTTACTAGCCTCAAATTAGTCGTAAAATGTCATTTACCATTATAAATGATAAATAAATAGAGTTAAAGTAGCTTGCAAAAAAGTTAATCTCCTATCGTCTTGCTATCGTGGGCAAGGATCGAGGACGATAAAAACACCACATCCTATCCTATCGTGATGTCAAAATATGATATAGTTAGCGCTTCATGTTAGGGCTTGCCAGGTTTATCACAAAAAAAAAAACAAATCTATCACTATCACATTTTGACAGATGACATGATAATTTTCGGGGTGCCATGTTAGCGCCGGTAGATAAAACGATATAGTGACGTCAAAATCGATATAACGCCGCGATAGCAGTTTATCACGGCGCGCATCTTAGCCCTGCAGGGGGTGATTAGTGATCGATACTGATGCCAAAAATGCAATCAGTAAAATTTTTGTCTGTCTGTATGTTCCTTATAGAAACAAAAACTACTCGACGGATTTTAACGAAACTTGGTACAATTATTCTTCATACTCCTGGGCAGGTTATAGGATTATTAGGAATTCCCACGGGAACGGGAATTACCGGGAAAATCCTTTTGTATGAAAAATCTAAACCGCTTAAGTTAGACGCTTGAAATTTGGCATGCAGGTACCTTAGTAAACTTAAAGCTTAGTTACAACAGGATATTGCAAAATTCCCACGGGAACGGGAGTTAGCGGGAAAAAACATTTGTATGAAAAATCTAAACCGCTTAAGTTAGACGCTTGAAATTTGGCATGCAGGTACCTTAGTAAACTTAAAGCTTAGTTACAACAGGATATTGCAAAATTCCCCCGGGAACGGGAGTTAGTGGGAAAAAACATTTGTATGAAAAAAACTAAACCGCGGAAGATAGACTCTTGAAATTTGACATGCAGGTACCTTAGTAAACTTAAAGCTTAGTTACAACAGGATATTGCAAAATTCCCACGGGAACGGGAGTTAGTGGGAAAAAACATTTGTTTGAAAAAATCTAAACCGCGTAAGATAGACGCTTGAAATTTGGCATGCAGGTACCNTCAAAACTAACACACAAATACATGTATAACTAGAACGAAGTCAATAAATCAACATTAGAATCATATTACAACGAAAACTACCGTAGAATAACTTTGTAAAACTATGTTTCCGAAAGTTTACATAAAAGGGGAATTGTGTAAATAGAAAAAGTGGAAATGGCCGATAAATCAACATGTTTTTAAACTTCTGGTTTATGATAATTTTGTAGGTAACCGAATACAAACAACCAATGATTCAATCAATGCATAGTAATGAGGTTTAAGTTTTAATTAGGGTAATGTATGAGTTGATGCTGTTATGTGATACACTTTTGGTATAATACTACAAAAACATTACTGAATTTAAACATTAATTTTTGTCTTAGAGAACAATAGTGTCTAGACAAACAGGATTTAAAACACTAATAAACCAAAAATGTAATAGTTTTACAAATAAACATAATAAATAAACAAACAGTAGTCCGCCTAGACAATACATTTTTGTGGCTTCTTAAATTCTTACAAGTTTTTTTACCTTACAAGTTCAACTATTTAAATAAGATTTTTGATATGCCGTCGGCAAAGTTCCAAGGATCGTTGGCACATTTAAACGTGTTTGAAGACGGTTTAATTTCAATCAGAATTATCGATCAAGGTCCTGAATAAGTTTGTAATAAATCGGGAATTGTTTAGCTGCCTATTACGTATAAATAAAACTAAACTTAGAACAGCAGTCAGACTCTTAGGCTGAGTTGCACCACCTAACTTTGACAGTAACTATAACGATAACCGGTGCTTTTTGTATGGAGTTTGACAGATTTTTGACGTTTGTTAAAGTCAAAGTAAGATGGTGCAACCCAGCCTTACTATCCTATCTTGTAGGTAGATTCACGAAGTTCAGTAGTTCAGTAGCCCAAAGTAGTTAACACCATAAGTTCATACCCACACCTAGTTGGTTAACTCACACTAAGTAAAACAACACTGTTTAAGGTAAGTTTAGACCAGTGATACCCAAAGACTTTATGCCCCCAACTTTTTAATACTTTGAGTATTAAAATTTGGGAATCAATGGAAATAGCGAAATCATAAATCAATCAAAATAAAATGATCTAGATGTTTGCTTCCACCATGTTTTTTTTTTAAAGAATATTAGCAATTTAACCCCGTTGACCCCTCGTGGTAAGCTTATGCTTGTATTACGAGTGAGTTCACAAAAATAGTCAAGCGACACGGCGGGATTCGATGATGAACTTTAAAAAACAGAATCATACAGATAGTAATTCACAAAGATGGGGTTGAGTTGAGGGATATCTAAAGGTCTGAAACCGAACCCTGAAAAACTTGACAAGTGGTCTACAACACTAAAAAGTTTGGGCACCTCTGGTTTTGACCCTTATTTTCACTCCACAAAGGGCCACTATCGGGCATATTGGATTAAGAGTGGGAACAAATAGCCCCGCAAGGGTCTGGCTGGGCGGGTACATAAATCACCCGCCCGCATTGCGTCTGCAGATCTCTTCTGGTTTGGTACAGTTAGGTGTTAAATAGGTACTGCGTGTTAGAAGAAATTGGTAATTTATTTAAGAAACTACCTAGCTACAAATAGTTTTCCATTCAGCCATCAATAAAAACCGCTCATTTATTTGGGACTTCATTCAGAAGAAAGTTCAAGCATCATCTCAGAATAACATAACTTCGTTATAAAATGTGATTACTCGTAAATGGCAATGTGCTTTTAATGAAAATAAAAAATATTTAGTAAAACCACAGAATAATAATAAGTACTGTAAAACTCTAAAAACTATAGTTTTAAAATCGTAATAAAAACTTGTCTTAATCTTTAATATCTTAACATGAACACACATCGAACTATTTTTAACAATAATCTACAATTGCAGGCACTGTTTGGTCTATTGTAAAAACTCAATATTTATGTAAAACTTGTTACTATACATGACTGTTTGTTGCCTTAAATAAATGAAAAAAAAAACACACACACTTGGCGTAATCACCATTATAAAATGCATTGCGGCGCCACATTTTGAGTAACTTTCCGTGTCAATGACACATATTTCAGCAGCACATCTTTTTATTACAATGTCGTACGACAACAGGAAAACTTTGACATCGATTTACCTATTCCTGATAACACACGAGTCTCGATTACCCGCTGAATCGATTATGGAGATTCGAATAAGGCGCTCGAGTCAAAACAACTTATTCGTTTAGGTTACACATTGAATATGGAGTAAGACACGCCGTTTTATCCTGGGACATTATTGACGAACTATTGTTGTTTCGGCAAAAAGGCAGCTATATTTCTTACGTTATACCCTAGAAAAAAACTACTATTTTTGTTGCCTAACTTAGCTTTCGTATTCGTATTCTTATATCTATATCAACTATGATATTTTAGCCTCTACCCCGTGAAACTTTTTTTGTAAATCAAATCAGATGAATCGAAAATAACAACTAGACCAAGTTACTTCGGGACTATTCCCACCTCTCGTTCCCACCACTGCAACTCCTGTGTAGCCAGGATCCACAGCTTGACCGCCACAAAAACCCAACCAATGAAGGTCAAGTTTGTCCCGGGGGAAAGTTAAACTGTCATTGGACCCGCAACGAAATTAATCAGAAGAACATAGGAGGAGTTCGAAATTAAGGTTCGACTTCCCTCCATTGGAAAGCGGATGACAGGTGACAAACAAAGGTTTAAGACCAAGTTACTCGAGAAAGGGTGACTTATTATTGAATATTTTGAGTTTCGAGTGGGAGTACGTATGCACCATGCTATTAAAGCTGCTGAAGCTTCGGGACCTACCAAAGCTTTTAAACCTAAAATAAGTCAAAATTAAGTACGCACCGAAATTAATTAGCTCGTATTAACTTCTAAGTGTTATAAAACGTGGCCATTTTATTATTCTCATTTTCTTCACTTAGGAACTGAATTATGCAAATCCAGTTTTCTTTTAAAGTTACTTACTTTTACTAATTACTTAATTAATTTCTTAAGTAAACTGTGATGTTTCAGTAAATAGCCAAATAAATGGACGGTTTGTACTTTTTAGGGTGACATAAAATAAAAAAGGAATCTTCGGGTTTTAATACTTAGTTAACGAGACTTCCAAACAGGTTAAAATAAACCACGCATACGAAAAATTTAAGTAAACTTAGATGAAAAGTAGCCAAAGTAGGTCACTTTTTGGTTTTAATGTAACTATGCAAACGACTTCTCTACAAGCTTTTGAATTTACTAAGTATAAAGATTTGTAATTCAATTTTGGTAAAAGCTCCTGTTAGGTGCATAATACCTATTTATGCAGCTCCTGTTACTTTTTATTTATTACAGTATAACGAAACACAAATGGTAGTTACGAAGTTTGTTGCGGCGCGTCAGCACTTGCTAAATGTTTGTCTCAAAACGTTAGTAAGGCAAAATATAGGTACACACGCCTACACTGTTAACTATCCATTTCCGTTTTTGCTCTCGCTCTAATCAAATGGCGATTCTTTGTGATAGAACGAGATGACATGACTTTCAATGGGCAGTTAACACTGTTGGCAATAGTACATGTATGTATTATGAGAAATGTGAGTGAAACCTCTCCCTAATTTTATCCCTTTTTTCTCTTAAAAAATCTCGTAAAAATGGTCAACATTAAATAAATAAAAACCACATTGTCTTCGAAGATGTGCTAGCTGTTTTCCTCATCCTACCCATGGATACGCAATGCAGATCCTGGCATGGCGTCGGGCGATGCGTTTCGCCATCATATTTCAAGCAAAATTGTCAGCGGGAAGCCAGCGGCATTGAACGGCGAATAAATCGGACGACAAATATTTGGCTTCCTACATTATGTTCTAGCATTGAAATGTTGGATGTGGCAGTATTTGACTAGAATATCACTGGCATTTATTTTTTTTTAAGATTTCAGCATACGCTGAATTTTCTAAAGTCATAAAGGATCTAAATCGACCACGTTTGTACAACTTCACATAGCGTCATTTAATTATTAAATTTTAGTTTTTCAGTTTTTTAATATTTTTGTAAATGTGTTTAATACTTTAAATGGTGTTGGAATTCAGATCACTTTAAAACTATTTACTAAAGAACAATGTAAAATGTCTTTTAAAGTTCTTTTTATT